CCTGAGCCTGGCCTGGGGCTTTAGTGAGCACCTGAGCCTGGCCTGGGGCTTTAGTGAGCACCTGAGCCCGGCCTGGGGCTTTAGAGATCCAGCAGACAAAACTCCTGTCTGGGAGTGTGTCCCAGCCTGTGACCCCTGGGGATGTGGCAGGGTCCCCTCTGGGAGTGTGTCCCACATTGTGACCCTTGTCACCCTTGGGGATGTGGCAGGGTCCCCTCTGGGAGTGTCCCACCCTGTGACCCCTGGGGATGTGGCAGGGCCCTGTCTGGGAGTGTGTCCCACATTGTGACCCTTGTCACCCTTGGGGATGTGGCAGGGTCCCCTCTGGGAGTGTGTCCCAGCCTGTGACCCTTGGGGATGTGGCAGGGTCCCCTCTGGGAGTGTCCCACCCTGTGGCTGTGCCACCCTTGTGACAAAGGGCTCATCTGGGTGGCTCTGGCAGGGACACACACCCCTCCATGGCTCCCGCAGCTCGGCTTTGACAAATACCTGCAGTTTGGCTCCCATGTTGAACTTGGCCTGGCGCCCCATGGCCAGGAAGGAGATGAAGATCTTGTCCTGGGCCAGGATCCGSACCCCGACGTGGCGGTTCAGCGAGATGAACACGGGGCTCAGGGGSACCTGGGGTCCTGGGGACGAGTTGGGCCACGTCCACCTCCTCACCCTGTTGCCTGCTTGGTCCAGGTACTGCCCACCCTGGATACTCATGTTTATCCTAAAAGAAAGGGAAATGGAAGCTCTGACCCTGCAGCTCCTGTGGTGAATTATCTCCTTCCCCCGAGGGATGGGACAGAGGGGACAGGGTCTGTCCCCACCTCTGCAGGCACAGCTGCAGTCCCCGTCCTGCTCTGGGGCACCACATGCACAAATGGATTTGTCTGTTCATTTTTGGGTGAATTATTAATTCACTGTTGGGACAGGGTCTGTCCCCACCTCTGCAGGCACAGCTGCAGTCCCCGGCCTGCTCTGGGGCACCACATTCACAAATGGATTTGTCTGTTCGTTTTGGGGTGAATTATTAATTCACTGTTAAATCACCCTGCATGGCTTTGCAATGCCAAGGCACAGAGGAGAGGAGAGCAAAGCTGGGAACGCACCACTCATCTCCGTTGGGGTAACAGCACGTGCATTTTGGGGTGAATTATTGTTAATTCCCTGTTAAACGCACCACTCGTCCCCGTTGGGGTAACAGCACGTGCATTTTGGGGTGAATTATTATTAATTCCCTGTTAAACTCACCACTCGTCCCCGTTGGGGTAACAGCACGTGCATTTTGGGGTGAATTATTATTAATTCACTATTAAACACACCACTCGTCTCCATTGGGGTAACAGCAGGTGCATTTTTGGGGTGAATTATTATTAATTCCCTGATAAACACACCACTCGTCCCCGTTGGGGTAGTAGCAGGTGCTTCTGCCGTCAGACTGAAATAAAGCTCGGATTTGGGCTGTCCTGGGCTCGTCGTCCTGCACGATGCAGATCAGCTCATCCCTGTCCCGGGTGATGATGATGGCCAAGTGTCCCGAGGGATAGCTGCCTCCAGGTAAGGTGTTCATAACCCTCTGCT